TGTTTGAGCTTGTGTTGGTCTACGTTGTTCACAAAACTTATTCTATTCTGGAATTCGTTTATGTATTATCCAAAATGAGGGGAAGCGATTTCCTCGTAGAACACACCTTATCTCTATATATACTTCATACTTCAGACTCAGGATAACTTTTAGTTCGTCAGTCTGATGGGGTACAGGATTTCATCAAAACAGACAGTATAAGATTCAAGCCATTGACTGGTTTTCGAAGCCATATCAAAAAGAGTAGGACAAAACAAACAAATAAAAATCCATTGATGCTCTGGTTATCATGTTTCTCTGAAATCGTTTTTACTCCTCGCTGATGGCGTTGCCTGAGCGATTTGAAGTTTTTTGGGGTACCTTATAGACGATATTGAAAGCATCTTTATTTATCTGGTGTCCAATATCCACGAGGTGCATGTGAAATGGTCCTTGTGGATTCCATAATAACCAGGCCTGTTTATGCTTCTTTGATTCTTTGAGAAAATTGCCATATCGTCTAGCCTGAGTAGCTGCCGAATGGGAGTAAACAAAAGATTAGATCAACATCGAGGAAGTGAAGATCAACAGTTTATCTTTAAGATCCTTTACCAGTATAGATCGGTTTATTTATTTACTTTTACTTTGGAGGAACTAAGTCCTGTGGGAGTGTAAGTCAGCCTCTTGTATGTATCTAATGATGGCAGCCCATGATGGACAATCGGTGGCAAGGTTGGTCCAGTGTAAAACCCAGTTCTGGTTCCAGTTCCGAATTCTATATACTGATTGGAGGCCCACTTATTCCAAATTCCCCCTGATCATACTGCTCCGGGTCTTCAGTGGAGCACCGAACAGGAAACGCCATCCACAGCACGGTGTATGGCTGTAGTTTGCCGCGATAGTTCAGCTTCGGGTCTTCGGAGCACGTGTCCAAGACAGTGAAGGCGCCAGTGTTGTAGCATTTTCCAAAGTTTGTCGAGGTTCGAGCAGTGGCGTTGAACTTCATCATTAAAAACCGGATCTCTCATGATGCCGCGTAAGCACCGAAGATCAAAGACCTCGAGCTTCCTTAGATCTTGTAATCTTACCGGCCCTGTTTCACAAAAATAAGTGAGGATAAGACGGATGGAAGCCTCAGCATCCCGAAGCCAAATGTTTAAGCTTATTTTGCATCGGTTCCAAAACGGTCTGAGGAACTGAAGGAAGGCTCTTTTAGCTCCATCTAAACGAAGTTGGATCGAAAACCTGGGTTGATTCAACAAGCTCCCCGTTAATCGAGAAGAGTAATGTCGAGGCAGAATTTTCCGGTGGAAACTGTCATGGTTTTCGACTTGTTCATCTCCAGACAAGTGTTCTGGGCGAGCTGATTAATGTTACTCCCAACAGGCTAGTAGTTTCCGTGCTGCCTTTAAATACGACGGCATCATCCGCAAAATTGAGTTCTGTAAGCTGCTCTCCGGATAGTCGAATTTTACTTGTCACTTTATTCAATCTGCGGATAGCGGAAAACGTTACCTGATTCCTGAGCTCAGTGTGAACTCAGCTGATTATTCTTCATAGGTACTGATGCGCATCGGAGTCCCTGAGTAGTACGACTTTAAAAGCTTGATGAACTTCTCTAATATCCGGTCGGACAGTAATATTCATCACAAGGATTTTCTATGGACAGAGTCAAAGGCAGCATAGAATTCGGTTAAACATGCTGTGGTAGATTGTTAGTGGTTTTCCAGAACCCTGCGGAGAGTGAAGAGTTGTTCAACACAGCCCCTTCCGCGGCAAAACCCTCCCTATCGATTCGGGCTAGTGCGGGTATCCATGACGACCACCATGCGGTTAAGCAGTACCAATAAAAAAAATCTGACCGCAGTACCAATGAGGCTGATACCACTAAAATTTTCGTATATCGAAACAGGGACAGGGACTAAAATTGAAGTTACTCATTCTTTTGAAAAAATCTTCCGCTTCCGAAATGGAGTAGAACAAAGTGCAGCGGATTGATCAGATTTTGTCGACAGGTCTTGCACAGCTTCGGAGATATCCGTCTTCTCCAGTTCAAGTCAGATTTTCTAGAGAAGTGGTTGTATTGGCGATTTTTGTCCTATTAAATGAAGGAGAATTGATGTCGTAGATCTCCGAGTTGCTTGACACTTGTGAACAGTTATGTTGGTTGGGAAGTCCGTCAAAGTGTTCGACTCACTCTTGCATTTTCTGTTCATTTCCGTGAATAAGTAGGGCCGCGGTGTCACGCAACAGCGGCTCCGATGTTTGTCTTTTTCATACTGCAATACTGATTGGACGAAATAGCTTTTCAAAGTCCGCTGCGACGATTGCAGCCCTCATGCTGTTCACAATCGACTTGGCTTGGCGAGGTAGAATTTGGAATTCAGGAGAATTGATCAGCCGCGTATCTCTTGACTTTGCGGACAACTGCAGTGTAAGCTTACAGATCAAGTTGCTTTTGTGATGAAGATTTTTACCTAACTGTCCCAGTACTGCTTCTCTGATGGACGTTTTCAGCGTGAACCACTTTGCGCCAACAGTTGATTCCTCGAGACAAGTTGCGGTTAGATTGGAAGCGGTTGTGTCCAGCAATGCCTGCCTTTTCTCAGGTAGTTCCAGGAAAGCGATTTTGAATTGGCTTGTGGGACGAGTCCCCTGGTGAGCAGTCAGATGGATCTTGAAGATGACGCAAACAAAGGTATGGGCTGTACCCTTCCTGGTTCCATTTTCTGCGTCGCGATAGGAACGGCAGTCTTCCACTGAAGAGGTTCAGCGAGCACGTACCAAAATATAATCAACCTTAGGTGCCTTTCTACAGTTCATCGAGCACCAAGTAAGTATGTTTTCTGGGATGCTGAAAACGCGTGTTGACCACGACTGGCTCGTTAAGGTCAGCAAATGTGACTAAGCGTTTACCATTTTCGCATCTTTGACCTAGCCTCCTCAAAACATATAGAATACGCTCGGACCAGTGAGTGCAATCCAATCACGTGCAATAAGGAGGATATCGCATCTCAGACTGCGTTTCACTGCATCTTAAACTCGATTACAGAAGTCGTCTTCGATATGTACTTCTGCAGGAAACGTTGGAGCATCGACAGCGATGACAGTAACTTTAAGCGGTTCACTCCCGAAGGACACCATGGCAATTCTGGGAGAGATTGGATCCCAAAATCTTATAGAGTTGTTGACCCAGTCCTTCACGGCGATTGCTAGTTCATGCAAACCGCGGTATAACCAGTAGGTTGCGTCGTTATATGGTACGCTGATTTGTTTTGTGTCACAGTTAAGCAATCAGACTTCGGCCAGACAGCAGATGTCTAACTTTTAGTAGTGCAGTGAGCGCACCTTAATGCACTGGTTTCCTATGAATCGCAACGCACTAACATCCCAGCAAGCTACATGGATGCTGTATCTGATGTACAGATGGTTTAGGTCACCAGGTTGTTCATTTGTCATCCCAGCCATTTGGAGAGCACACGCACGTCAATTCCCGGGAAAGCCATTATATGAGGGCGATGTGACATTGTAAGACGATCCATGAATAAACTTGGGAATTAGACGCTACGTGACGTCCCCAGCGTTGCTCAGCTTTTGTCCGAGGCTGCACCTTCGACCGTTTCACAACCGAGTGTGATCTGCAGGTAATATTGTAGAATAGTTGGTAGTCAGTGACTGTCAAAACGGTTCATAGGCCTTTCTGATGTCTCAGTGCCAATCCAGGCTCCCAACGTGTCCGTGAGGACCGACGGTTGGTGTCTAGTGTTCATCTCATTTCAAAGCTTATCCTACCTGGGTGAGTAGGCAATTGGTGGACCACATACGCACAAGCCACGATGCTGCCAGCTTTTAATGGGATATCGGTTGCAAGCCGGAAACCCCATCCCGCCCTCTAGCATGGCCGCTAATCTTCCGCGAAAGATTATTCAGTGAGATGGCCCCCACCTATTTGGGATTAACCACCAAGATGGCCATTCTCCTATCAGCTACTTGGAGACGCGCTCTGTAGGATTTTGCTGTGGCATTGTTCCAAGCGGTCCTTCGGCTATTTTATATTGATCCTTGGGAACGATTTTTCGGGATAACCATTGCCCACCATTGTCTGTCTGGCTCTATTCTGACTCAAGGTATTCCGCAAGGCATACATTCCCAATGTGATCTACTAGGGATCAGACCAGGCTTCTCTTACGTCTTAAAGATACAAAACTCACGGAGTGAGTGAATTGAACTGTCCGTATGGAGTTTCCGTCTATTAAAACTAGCAACTACTAACTACTACTGTTGTGAGATACTATTCACTTGCGAGTAGTAGGTAACTTTCCATAATCAAAAATATAACAAGACCATCAACGGTCAAGTGATATGTTTGGAAGAATAACAACCGACTGCTCTATACATTACTCTGTGTGTCGGAAAGAATTGCGATGGCACGTTTCTGATTATGTTTTGGTGGTATACATGCCAAATTACTGACTCCCATCTGTAATCCCTAATAATAACTATCCTCGACCAGCACCACCGTGTGGAATTATAACACTACTACTATTGACTACTAACTACTACAACGAATCTACTGTACAACATCACAGATGACAGTTCAGATGACAGTAACTTAGGAATCTGGAGACGTGAGCGCAATAAGCGAGGAAAGAAACTGGCAGTCAATTACCAAAGATTTAGTTCCAACATTACCATACGAAACTTTACAAGATGTCAAAGCTACCCAGTTGAGTATTCATTATTTATTGCAGCATTTGGTGCCTTGTAATGGATCTCGAGAGTAAAATGATTATATTTGTCATGCAATGGCCGATATTTACAATGACGATTTGCCAATTCACATTTATACATATATTCCAATCAGTACGTGATATTTCACTAATTCCGTAGTGTAGGAATTTTCTTAAGAAAATTTTGGATTGGTGCGTTGTATTTCTATTGTTTTTGACTCGTACACCGAAATAAGATGTTTCTGGAGATCAATGTCGACCCAAAGAAAAACAAGTGAGCTTTGTGTTCACTGGTAACCAATATCATTTTCTGATAAAAAATATTGGAAAACATTTTACCTTCTGGGATTCGACCTTGTCCACTGAATGATCTTTGGGCACATTCGTGAGTCCAGATGACCGTGAGTCCCCATCCGATGGCTCCGTCAACGACATGCTTTGCCTAGTGTCCAAGAATAACTGTAATATTTGTTCAATCTCTTTCAGGATGCTCTCAGGCGAAATTTTCCGGACGAAACCATCCGAATCCAGCTGACCACCGGCATCCAAGCGGACCACTTGAATGCCCGGGCGTTTAGTTGAGTAGAACTGACTCATAGAGGGCCACGACTCTAAAAAGCTAGCTAGACGTTCCTGAATTTGACCGTAAGACGCAACCTCATCTGGATATTTCGGTGTTTGATTGTCATGTGAATCTGGTATTGGAACTTCGGGTGCATTATAGTCCGATCGATTGGCTGCTCGAGTTAACACTTCATCGTCAGTTACGTCCAGCAGAATAATGAGGTCCAAACTTCTACATGAAGCCAATTTCACATCTAAGTCTTCGACTGAAATCAAATTGGTTTCCGACGAAGCGCTCGATACATTTACGGTGAGTCGTTGTTCCAAAAGTTCTGCTTGACGTAAATTGCACGGAAAACCATCGAGCAAAAACGGTGTTCCAGGATTTAAAGATCTAAACGAAAACAAATTCTCTGAGACAATGATTGGGGTCACACGAAACGAGTTGGTCACTTAGCACAAAAATCAATACTACTTATCAAAATGATTTGTTCTTTCACACCAAAGTTTAACCACAGCCAATAGCCAGTCGCTATGTTTACCTGTTTGCACCAATTAGTTTTTCAATGAGATAGTTATGGTCGCTTTAATTGTGATCGTAAAATAAAACCCATTCTACCAATCTTAGTACTCTTACAAAGAGCAGAATTTGATAAAAACTTGATAAAACTCGATAAAACGGTGGAACGATGATCCAGTTAATAACTAGATATTATCCCTAATATTCAGTAAAACACGCAGCGCGGCTATATCACTTTTGATGCATGGTTTGGTAGCTATTTAAATGAGCTGTGTCCCGATAATTTCATGTCACAACTTTATTCCATCGATCAATTAACCCGTGAAATGAAAGTGAGAAATCTTAGGGATTAACTTGAACTTCATAGGCATCGTTTCAGATGAAGGAAGTATAACACCAGTGCGTGTTTTATGCACGTGTTTGTGCTTAATTCGTACTGAGGATACTGCGAACGCTTAGTTATCTGGACGGACCATGAAATCGAATCTGTTTTACCTACCACTGTTTTACCTACCGCTGCCCGAAATTTCGGGCAGCGGTTTTCGGTTTCTGCCTTTGGAAACTCCTTTGGATGATGGATCAGGAGAAAAATAGGAGAGTTGAAAGTATAGTAGAACAGAAAATGGAAAATTTCAGAAGAACATGATTCATCATTCATCATCATCATCATCATACAGCGGAACACAGTGATGCGAACTTCACTGATCGCTGTCAAACTCATAAGGTAAGTAAAAATGTGTAAGGAGGACAGGGATTGGGCCTATTATGAGGGACTGGAAGAGAAAGCAAACCTCTAGAGAGAGGACAGTCCAACTGTGCATACATAGTATTTCAAGTATTCTGGATTAATAAGAAGTGGCAGCAAGATGGTCACTGCTGTCGATTTGTTGCCGTAACCCTCAGTGTCTCTAATCATGCGCTTACGGAATATTTTGGACCGCAACCCGGAAAACCAGAGACAACTACTCTACCTAATCACTCTGTGCATTTCCTCATGCCTATTCTTCACGTCATCTGCTGGCAAACTATTGTAGATGCACGAGCGCCACTGTTTACAACACTCAGCTATGTCACTTAGTGTCTCTAGTAATCATTTACAATGATCCCGAGGTCTCCAACCAGGAGGCCTAACGCGACCTATGTGACCCAGTCTCTCTGACAGGTTTTTCACACCCCCAGGCCAGGTCTTAGTTTGACTACCCCTGACATTTTTCTACTCACTGCCTGTCTCCACAAACAACACGCACCGTGGCAATCTATTTGGTGACGCGCGTAACACATACCACAAGCAATATAGTCTGTGGATATCGATAACTGACGCCAGTGGGTTACCACAGTTACTTAAGCTCTACACTTTATCTCAGCATTGCTCGTCCGGTTTCCCCACCAGACTCATACAATGTGGAGTAGACAGCGATCTTCGAACACCGACGGTTTATCTATATCTTATTTGTTTAACTATCAAGTCTCTGCGTTGCTTAGCAGAACTGACCGAACTGCTACTCGACCCTTCACAGACATTTGGATGACGCGATGGTGCCACAGATATCCCAAGTTGGCGAATGTCAATAGAGTCTTCTATATGCGAGCTGACACTTCATCTGTGATGCGTCTACCGGGTGAGATAGCAAAAGTCGTTCACTTGCTCTATTACTTCCCCATCTAAGTTGAGACTATCAGCTGGATCCACCCAGTCCTGCGGCAACATTGTTCACTTTGAAGGTGCAAAAGCCATCGTGAACATGGATACGCTAGCTCTCAAATTATTCAGAAAAGTTCGTCTGCATACTCCAGGTCAAACAGTTCACCACTTGGAGGTAAATCAATGCCACGATACTTGCACGAAGACGAGGCTGCTTCTATAATAAAATCGATAACGAAATCAAACGGAAAAGGAGACAGAGAGAAAGAGAGAGAGAGAGAGGGAAACCCTGAAGAACACCGATTTGTGTGCTGAACTCGGACGAAAAAGTGCCGCACGCTTGGATTAAGCTAAGGCTTTTAGTGTGCAGTGATCATACTATTGAAATAAACCTTTCGGGCACACCTTTCAAGATAGGGCAAAGCCAGAATTTAGAGCAGTCAAACGAGTCAAAACCCGCTTTCAGATCACGGAAGACAGAAATAGTAGGTGTGCGAAAAGAATGTCTGTGTCCTAGGATTTGGCGAGTAGTGAAATTCTAGTCGATTAGGTAGAACGATTTATCAATGCAAATTAGAACCCCATTCTGACCGACAATACTGTTTCTACCGGAACCATCTTTTAATAATTCCGAAGATATGTTGCGGGAAATTGCCACTGAAGTCCAGTTTTCTCTTGAAAGTCTGCAGTTCTTCGATGAAAGTGTGGTTCAAAAATCGGAAGCCATTCATCGCATATGTTTGGACTGCCTAAAATACATAAACATGGTGTGCCGCTAAAACCAATATCATTTATGCGGAACTCACTACAATACCAAATGGGAACGCACCTGGACTTCAATATCATTCGAACTCCATACGGAAATATATCAAGATCATTCTGTCGCAATGTAACTTGAACAAATCAGTACATGTACTTTGAAGCTTTGTGCCGATTGCACATAGACGTGTCTTTGTTCGCACTCTATGCGATACAAACTGACGACTTTGTACAAGTGACAAGATATCAAACGAGATAACCGTGACGCGCAATACTAACAGGAAATTGCCATTTCAAGGAGGTTTTGGGCAGATATAGCAAGAAAAATACTGAGAAGCCTTTATTACACGAGTATTTCAAACGGAGGTTACGATTTCCATTCAACTCCAAGGTGATGATGACGCAGCTTATTTGGAACGCATCCCGAAATGGGTTGATAGGCCCAATATGCAAAAATACCGAGTACTTCAATCGCCAACATATTTTGATGAGACAACACTACGTAGATCGATAATAATCATTATGTTGCAATAATAGAGGTTGCCGAAGCGGTTTCTATCAGTCATTAGGGAGACCTTGTGTCAGCGAAAATACTTATTCGTCACAATGTCTCTGCCTTGGGAATCCTTTGTCTATTAACGTCAAGTTTTTTATTTATATATTTCTTAATCCAGTGTCAAGCCCATGTAAACACTATAGTTGTCTTTAGTATGCGGCAAAATTGCCCAGGACACAACTCCTGCTTTTCTTTTCAAACTTATCGCCACGATGACCTGTTTCAGTATCTCCATGGACATTATATGGCAAAGTGTTCTATTGTGTAGACAAAGGGATCATCCCGGAATTTGTTTGCTTACTCTTTTAGCGGTTTACATGGTGGATGAACAGCGAGCGCTGTGCACGCTTATGCCACTCTACCGGCGTGTGTCGGTATCATCGTGGCGCTGTTATTTCCCACATGTGTAATAAATTTTAAGTGAAGTTCCTAGTATTTATGTAACTTGAAATGTGGTAATCCTGTTTTAAATGTTCGACTTAAAATTTGTTATAACATTTTCGAACGAGAGTGTACCGATGGTTCTCAACGGAATAACCTAGGATTCTAGTTTTGGTATGAAAACTGCCTCTTGCCTACGAAACTCTGGGATTTATGGAAATGATTTTTTCCTACCGTCTTGGGCAGAGGGTTTCAAGTGAAACAATAGCAGATCAAGCCAAAACTACCGATTCATCACTTACGGTACGAAGAAACTCAGTACTGGAAACTGTACCAACCACTATGGCCGCCATGCCTGCGCCAATTTCACTACCAGAATCAGGCAGCGCGTCAGGACGATCGGGTTCGACCAAACGGAAACGTCAAATAAGTTCAAGTGAGCGATTCATTCCCAAACTGCCAGAATATTGTGTCAACTAACTGGGTTTATCCAAACATTACAGTCCAACATAACACTTTTGCTCGCACTGATATTCGCAAGATATTTCTACTGGTAGGAGTTTTGGCCGCTTCGCCCGAACGTCCGACAGGAATGTAAATATTACTGGCAGCTCCGAACAACACACGGAACAGTTGTTCGATATATTTTCTCGACCTTCACACAGTTACTCATTCGCAGGTAAGGTGTATTTTATGTGTGGAATGCAGAAACTCACCAAAAGGGAAACCCAGAGTTCAATGAGTTCATTTAGAGGGTCGAATTCTGGTGATCGAACCTGTTCCCACAATAACAGAGACCCGTTTAGAATAGAGTATCACTCTCATTGTTGAGTGCTGTGATACCCATAACTTGACTGTAACTGATTTTCATGCGAATACAGTACAACTCCCGGGAGTCCTGACGTTGAAATATTGCTTATGCTGTATCGCAGCGCGGTTATTGGTTCTAAGAAGTAAACTGAAACCGCAGTACGGTTGGTTCTCCTTTGAATCTACCTTGAATGAAATAAAAATGAATAAAGAACGAAATGACTGAACCAGACTGAATGAATGTAATTTACTTCCGTTCTTGCCATCGGGAAGGCCAACATTTCTCAGTAGTGATTTCTAAATCAAGTACAATAAATGGAGGAGTAAATAGATAAATTTAATTTCGGATGCGGTTGGTAAAGGATAGCTTGATAACAGACAACAAGATCTAAGTTAACGAACCTGTAAAGTGGTGTGAACAGCTGCAGACACCCGCAGGTGATACAACAGTCGCATTATTTTTGTAACATCCAATCACCTTGATTCGTAGGGTAAATTTCAAAATTTTACCCTATGTTGTCAGTTCTACTGTCTTCAATATGTAGCTATATATTGCTTAATTTATATCGCTGTATGAATACGAACAAGATATTAAAAACGCATCGTTCATTCACCATTCCATCTATTTGTCTTTGACATCTACCTGTACAGAAGGAAAAAACAAAAACTGCATGCAACAGTTCTTTTATTGAATGTTTTTTATGCCAATACCTAATTCCCGACCAAATTAGCTGGACCTACACTTTGAATGCTCAGTTTGATAACTAAAATAAGCGAGAATCCGGTATTAAGCAATTCTTCCGTTTACATTGAGTAGAAAAAGATGATATTAGCTACACAGTCTGTCTGCCACCACGGTGTATCTTTCACCGGGATTCGACTTTCGAGCATCATTCCCACCATCAACCGATTTGAGATGCGAGGAACGAATGCCTTCAGCATCTGTACGGTTTGAGTAACTCACTCATTATTCTCTTTAATTCTCTCTCACGAATACTTGTAGATAGTAAATATTCCACCCACTCATCCAAAACACCAGAACGTAAAAGTGCCGATGGAAAGTTGCCGGTGCAGTCGACCACTAGATCACTCAGCCGTTCAGTTGGCAGACGAAAATCCAAAGCAACGATTCAGTCCCAAAAGGAGTCTGTGAAAAACGAAGAACTAAATGCTTCACAACAAAACACTCCGGAACCTCATTCTCCTCAACCGGGCGAAGAGGGATGGATTTATGTGGATTTGCCACTCGAACCAGTAGGTGATAGTTCGCTTGCTATTACAGTTTTTATTGTGTTGACAAACCACTAAACAAATTTCTCCCTATTGTTCATGAGAGCCAATACTTCCAGTATCAACAATTTATGCTGTGGTCGTCACAAGACTATTATTGTTTCCGTTGATCTTTCCACTGATTATGATTATGAATTTCGACGAATAAGTCTGTGGATGAACTCTGGCAAAACAGGTTGTTCGCTACCGAGTTCTTTCGTAGAAAAAATTAATGTTTCGTTTCTTGAAACCGCGGTACTTCTGCTTGCTGAATTAGCGAAATATTGAGTTGATTATAATTCAGGTAAAGTTGGTCAAAACGAAAATGTTTAGGATATGTCCAATCAAGTCAAGTCAAGTCAAAAATCGCTTTATTCATCCTAATCGATGAATTCAGCTTCTTGCACTCCAGGAACATTTAACATCGCATACAGTGACAAAGAAAAAGTGAAAAGACAGCGTCGTGAGTTCAAAGGAATGTGGAGTAAAAGTTTTAAAATAAATATCAATTGCATTGGAAATTCAAAAAGGTTTTCTCTAACGGATGCCTTTTGAGCCAGAAATCTCGAAAGAGATGACGGACAAAAGGTAGGCAGTGGTACGAATATACACCAGTTTATAACGACATCTTGTTACAGAAGTGAATCTACAGGTGTTGACCAAACTCGTTCAACATCATCCTAATTTTGAAAATCCATTTCAGCTTGCAATATCATAGTTATATATAGATGGCTATGAGTAAACTGTATTTATTCCCGACTTTATATACAAAATCTGTGTTCTTTGTTCACTGTTATCATCATTTGAATGTGCACGACCTTGAGTGTCGCTATAAAATTTGCAGTAGTTCGAAATTTACAGCTCAGATTTAGAAAATATTTTAAGCAAAGTAGCATGGGAGCTTATTCCTTTTAACAGAGGATTCCTGTTCCATGATAGATTCTATTAGGTTGAGCACACGTATTCTATATTTCTATTCCCTTTTCATCCAGTGCACAGTAAATAAGCAAATTATTGAAAATATTCTAAATAAGGTAAATTCATAAATTATTTGGCTACAAACTACTCACGCATTATCTCCCATACAGAGAGTACTGAAAACATAGCCCAAAAAACACACAAGTTGATTTTCGAAAGTTGACCTTGAGTTGTGCGGCTCGTTTGATAAACGTCCTATAGTGTCATCATGCCCAAACCGGATGAAACTTTCAAAAGGTCTGGCGAATAATTAAAGCCGAGAAGCAACTTAAACGAGAGGCGCATAAATCTGTTGGCTCAGTTGATATTTTGTGGAAGCGCTTTGATGTGAACATAAGTCCAAATTGTTGAATATTCAACGAAATGTCTCCATCACGACATAAACCGAGAGGGAGAAAGCAGCCATATCAAAGTAAGATGATGGTTGTATTTGATCGCAGCAGAGAAGAGTTGCACAAAACCAATCTGGATGGTAGTCTGGGATGATTAACCATTTTTCCCCCACGCTTTCGTTTGGAAAATGATGGCTCAATTTGAAATGCAGCTGAGGCCACGTGATATAAAGCTGTTATCGAACGCCCAACAAAGCATAGCGTGCATTGATTTGACCAACAAATTCAAATCGCATCGCCCGCCCATTTGGCAATGGGTTTATCTCACTGGTGGCCAACAAGTAATTCAGCATATTGTTGAAGCTGATCCAATGAGCCAGTTATCTAATGAATTTCTTTTTCCTGTCAAAAGAATTAAATATCTACACCGCCTAACGAGTTGGAAGGGATATGATTATTGAGCGCATTGTTGGTCTCCAGCGTACGCCAATTCGGACGTACCAAAACTTTCTGCACTCATAAGGGAGGTTTTTGATAACTGTCACTCCAAAAATGCATTCGCTGAAGTCATATTTTTCACATATGAAGATTGGTATATCAGCTCGCTGGAGCTTGGTGATAGAAAACGGTTGAACCAAAATAAATATTATTTTTCACATTTATGCAGTTTCTAAAAGGGGTCGATTTCAATGTCAAATTCGTTTTATTAACGCGCAGCAGCTGGGATTTAATTTTATTCGGAAACGTATCCCTCTATAAGAAACAGGGACACGTCAGCTACTTTGCCACAGGTGGCCGGCGTTACGAGTGCGGTGTATTAGAGAAAACCTGCAAATTCTGTTTGGCAGTCAACTTGGTGTATTCCATCTAAAAGCGACTGCCTCCAGTGCACAGAAATGAAGAGGAGCAAATGGAACATGGGTGAGATGAAAGTGCGATCCCTACATAAAATCTATGAGCCATTTCAATAAATAAATTACAGTTACGTTTTCTACTGTGACTTTGTGCGGTGATCCAGGCCTACACGATGGCGCTTACTCCAGAGCGGCGCGTTACAGTTCCAGGACA